CTAGCCGAAGGGAAAAGGTCCAGACATCGTCTTCATTTTCGGACTAGTAGGCTGAGTTTCTGTTTGTATCCAACTATTGTCGCGAAATATATTAGTTTCCCTGCGCTAACAATGGCCGCTCGCGCGAAAAAAAAAATTTCTGGCGAAGTCGGATTTGCTGACGCTATCAGCGTGCAGTATCGGGATTTTGAGCACGCTTGGGTATAATGAATTTGATTGTGTGACTCTGCTAGCTATGTTCTAATTGTCTTTGTTACAAGTTCTTGAACACCTTCCTCGCAGTTTTTGCAATCAAAGTCTTTTCAACAGTTAGGTTCCCTGAACTTTTCTAAAAACATTTATTGCAGATAGCTTCATTACAAGGTGGTTACTATAATTCTTCTGTTGTTCACATGTAGGTAGACTACATTGTAACACCCACAAGGATTATCCAATGCCAAGGACATAAACAGAGCCCAGTTGGAATACAGTGGTCAAAAGTCACACCTCAAATGTTGAAAGATATTCCTGTATTGAAAGATCTTAGAGAAAAAGAGAGAAGAGTTGGAAAGAATGTCACTTTGAATGAGTGACTTATTGACAAGATTCTGTTGATAATTGGGTTCCTTGGATAACCTCAATAATGTTTCTTTTTTATATGATTCATTTAGTTTGTAAGAACATGTGACATATGTGACTATGCCTTATGTGCCACTTGTTAAATGTTCTTAGTGCATTTTTACATCATCTGTGATTTGTTACTGAACAGATGCATAGCACTGCACCAGTATTGCAGAGGTCATGGGTTCAAATCCTGTATGGCCCTGAATTTTTTTTTCCTTTTTTTTTCCTTTTTTTTTTTTTCTCAGGCCGAATTTCTACAACTACACATAGGGTTCATTATAGGGCATAGAACTTTGTTAGTTTTCCAAACCAGTGTTTGAAAAGGGCAGAGCTATGGAGGTTTCTAGACAAGATGGGAAAATTGTTGCAGGTTGGAGCTGTGTGATTGATGAGAGATGGATTGATTTTGCTGAAATTTCCCACAAACTGCCCGACAGCCCAAGTATTTTGAGCTCAAAGAAAGCCCAACAGTCCAGTTCAGAATCTTTTTAATGGTATTTCAGTTGTTTTCTGAATAGGAATTACTTTCTCACACATGATTTTAAGTTGGTCAGATAAAATGATTGTAAAGCAATGAAGTTTTAATGATCATGTAAAAGGCAACAAACCCAGGCCAGAATGAATTTTCCACGGGATCTATGTGATCTTGTTTGAACTCCTACAACAGGATTGAGGGAAGATATGTCAGGGTTTTGTGCAAAAGAGATGATTTATTGAAACTGTTGAGTTCCCAAATGAGAGCTTCAATGAAGAAAAAATGGTTATAAGGGATCAAAAGATTTCACTTCTGAACTAGCAACTTTCCTACTCATTTATGGGAAAGGATTTCAGAGTTCCTCATCCTGTAGATCATTGACCAGCATCTATACCTGTACATGTTTTGATTTTAATGATGAAGAATTCAAAGATGTAAAGCTCTTGAGAAGTTTACTCAAGTTGTCAGTTTTTGCCAACAATACAACCTTACTAAATATGCCTGTAGCTATATCAATCACTCAATACTTTTTTTTTTTAAGTTTATATGCATCACTATTGGTGAAATAAATTGTGATTCTACATTGAAGGCTTTCCACACACCTCTGCAAGTTAGACTAGCAGACCAACAAGAGCATTCAAACACACTACACTGTAAAGTTACAAAATTCCTAATGCAGATCTTTATAACATTTGATTCCCTTTAGAACATTCCATTCCCAAATGACCAAACTGACACAGGCACAAAGAAGCCATCAAGTGATCAGTAGGACAAACATTCACACCACCACAAAGAAAACAAAGGAGGCACACAATGCACTCAGCCATAGACATACACTACATTCAATACTGCACTATATGAGTAAAATCTTGTAGTATACTACAACTAATTTTGAAGCTACTATAAAACACTATGTTTTCTTTGGACTAATACTGTTGTGACTGAATGTATACACACAATTTAAAATACCACTCTACGAGGACAATCTTAGTGTCATTAAACCTGCTGAGTGAAGCTACAAGTTCTTTTGTTTGAATCCAAACAGTCTGGACAATTTTAAACTTGATAACCAACTGCAGTTGAGAAATAAGTCCTGCTCCTAGGATTTTCTGCATTTACTGCCTTGGTATCTGTGAGGCACAGCTTAAGATTTTGCTCTTTGAAGAATGATTTAACTCAGTATGCTTCTTTTTCACCAGAATCAAAAACTGGTAGTGATAATTGTTACCCTGCCACTCAACAAGGTTTTAGACACCTTCTCTGCAAATGCAGCAGGCATAAATTTCTGAATGAGAACTCACTAAAGATATCTTTTTCCTAAACTTGAGACAATTTTTTAATATTGTTATATACTGTCAAGTTGCCTTCTAGTGTGCCTCACATTTGGAAAACATGTCAAAAATCTGTTGAGTGGCAAACACAACACAATCAACTTGCAAAAAGTTTGTCTACACCACATCAGTACAGGTAACTTTATTGCTTATTCATATTTCCCTATTAAGGAAAAAAAGGTATTCTTAAATCTTAAGACCAAGAAGCTCAAAACTGTGGCCTGTGGTTGCTTATCCCTGATTTGTACATATTTCTAGTTGTATATCTACATGGGATAGGATGACAGTCCATAACAGCTATTCCCCAGTCCTCCTCAGTTATTTTGGATTTCCCTGAAAGCTAACTGGTACCCATTTCTATTTCTGCAGGCCCAGGTGTTCAAAGGCTGATTAGCCCAAACCCAACGTCAGATTCTTAATCTGAGTTTCTTAAGTTATTCCTTTGTTCAAAAGCTGTTTCTGATACTTTTTTCTATTCTTTTTGGAGCATTCAATCATTGAATTGTACTTCAAAGGAATTATACTAAATTTTCTTTAGAGCTTTCAGATCCGAAACCAGATATCGCACTAACCCAAGGTTATCTTAACCCAGCTTTAAACAACCCTGCCCTGGGTGGAGAGAGGCAGTAGGAGGGTAACATGTCATGCATTAGGACTCGGCCAGGGCTCGAACCTTTCTATTCGGAGTCCATAAGGCTCACCACTCCACCACTCTATCATCAAACAGAAAAACAAACTAAAAAATTCCAAACTTAAAGCTAAATATGAGTGAATCAGTGACATACGTTCCCTGATGAAGATTACTGGAATTGCATATTGCTATACAATCAGAAATTCAATGCAAACAACTTGTAAAGTTGAGTATATAACCTACAGATAATTGAAATAGGTCCTCCGACTGTCACTCCTAGATGAGACATACAGGTGGCTTTAGTCTATCAGTCAAAGGTCACAAGAAGTCGCCACATTCAAGCGCTTCAAGCAGGTCTTCACCTTGCAAAAGATTAATATTCTGAACTGGTGCATTCACTTCAGCCTCCCAGGGACTGATGTTTGGAAACAGTGCTTTCCCTTTGTAAGCTGTCTCGTTTGTCACATACCCATTGCGTTTAACAGCCATAGGGATCTCCTTTCTGTTTAACACAGGTGAGCTTGAGTTTGACAGACTAGGGCGACAGTTGTAGGGTGGAGGGTTGGCTGGAGGCAGCATACCAGAACTTCCTGGAGATGGAATGCTTTCGTCAGCATTTAGTAGCCATGATGAGGGTGATGGTATCATTGGTGAATCAAGGAAAGGAATCTCAACTATTAAATGATCATCACAATCCAGCTCTGAGTCCATGATAGAAAGTGGAATAAATGGAGCACGTTCATCAAAATTTTCTTCCTCCTCATTAGCTACCTTCCCTTTGTCAATGTTTTGGTCGTTACTTGGAGAAGGAATGTAGGGGACTCTATTTTCAGCAGTGCTGTTTTCTGACTGGGTGGGACTGGGAAAGTCATCAGTAACACCATAGTGTGTTTGCAGCAGCTCTTCATATTCCTTTTGTTGCTCAATGAGGTCATCATTGGTGTCCCATGCCACTGGAATGCACTCCTGACAACCACAAAAAAATAAATATTAATAAATACATCATAGATCATATTTGGTAAGATTGCCTAGAAAAGCACTAAGGTTTTAAAGTACACAGTTAAAAATTCACTTTCTAAAGGCCTCCTGGGTTTAATTGACTCAATATATAACAAGAAATGATGAACAATTGTGCACCTTCTAGGCCGAGCTCACCTGAAAATTAATATGCTCACAGTCAACATCCTCAAGACACTGACAGGATTTCTTTGCTGCCTGTTTTGGGAGTGTCTTCATACAGCAGGATTTTAGGTTGCTCTCCTTCTTTGGTTTGATGTCTGCACTTGGACGCTGTTCATTAGCTGTTGCCTTCAGCACCTTGGTACGTTCCTCCAGCACAATGGAATGTTTTCTCCTAGTTCCCCTTCCCCTTCCCTTTTCATTTTCTTTTTTCACCACAAGGTCCAGACCCAGAGGAGCAGGAATGGGGTTGAGTTGTTCAGTGGACAGTACAAAATCCTTCTCATCAACTCTCCTGAGGAAATAAGTTCAGATAACAATTCATTAGTCCTAGTAAACTTCTCTCCTGTTATACTGAGGGAGATGTCCCTTTTGCAGTGTTTTATTTTATGAGGGGTACAAGTTCGAAATTGAATCAAAAGTCCCCTAAATTTACCAGACATTTCCCAGAAGGGCAAGCTTGGTGAGCAGGGCTAAGGATTTAGTCATACATCTGTTAAGATCAAAGAGACACTACTTATGGATGAACTTGATGATAGATACAGACATTTTTTTTAACAAACATCTCCCAAACATGACAACACACAGTTTTCCTGTGAGTACATAGGAAATCTTCCAAACCACTCCCTTTCACTCTGAGTACACCCAGTCTTTCAGCTAAACCACACTTCTACTATGTTTTTGAGCTACTGTACATGAAAATTATTACTATTCCTTTTAAAATGTGTCTATAACAACTTTAAAATCACTCCTGTTTTAAACTTACATGATGATGTAATTTGTGCAGAGGACAAACTGCGGCTGGCATGTCTTACTGTCATAAACAATGTTGGCCTTGGTCTGAAGCCACACCCATCCTCCATTACGAACCAAGAATCGGTAGTATTTGCTCACAGACTGCCCCTTGGTCAGCACTGTGACAAATAGAAAGAAAATTCTTCAATAAATTTTTACTTATAGCTGTTATCTCTCGCAGTTGAATATTTTTATAGAAACTGCGCAGTATAAATTTAAATTTAATAATAATTTAATAATTTAATAATCTCTGCAGGCTAGATTACTGTTGTTCTTTTGAGTCTCAGTTTGTTTGGCATGGGTTCAGTTTGTGATAAGTGGCTTTTTATTGAGCTTATAAGATTGGTATCAGCATTAGTTTGAACCCTTTACCTCAAAGATCTGATTGTTAAGTCTCCCCTCTGGCTGCTACACATTTCCATGTAAATTAGTTAAGGGAATCTGGTGTTGGATCAGGGACACAATAAATACCTGATAAGTTTGAGTATTCTCATTACCTGTTTGCTGGATAATGTATGGATATTATAGGGAGAAGTTCCATGTTAATCACTTCTAGGAGTTCAGGGGTTTAAATTGGCTAGTGAAATGAAATGAAAAAAGCATGACTATGTGTACGGTTACTCACATGTCTTGTGACATGCTAATGCTGTGTCCAAGTCACATGCATGTTGGAAGTGATACCAAGACTTGCCAACAATCTCTGCTGGTGTGAAACCAAGGAGGTCTGATACACTGGGGGAAAATAAAAAACAAGACATTGACTAAGTGAAAACACCAGAGCGTGCATGAGGGCTAAAAAAAGGCAGTAACTTTCTAGACTTGTATCTGGAAAATTGCCACAGTTTCACTCAATATTATCCAGTGTGGTGAACTACTTCATTGGCCCCACAAATTGAGAGTTCACCAGAAGATGACACCTTAATTTTTCTTTTTCCAGTAAACCAACAATAGTGAAAACTAAAATAAAGGAGTTTCCCTTTAAACATAAAAATTGATCTATGATGTTGGATCAGGGTGAGATTAAGTTTCTTCTGCAAAGAACAAGTTTGTAAATGAGGCAAGTTTGGGAAGAGGAAAATATTTGAAAAACTGCAAAAGCCACGCGATAGAAGGAGTTCATTCACCAACCTGTCATCACATGAAAGGAATTTCATGTCAAGGCTGTGACGACTGGTAAATGTGGCTCTGTCCAGCGGAACTTCAAAAGTGGATGTGAACATAAGTGGTACTCCAATGGCGACCATGAATAATGGAACCTTTTCTTCTTCTCCTGAGTCTGACACTTTCACAGACATTTTCATGCAACCAGTGCAGTGGACGACCTGAAGGAACAAAAAGAACATTTTAACCCATTAACTTCCACGAGTGACCAAGTCAGACTTTCTCCTTATCAAGCAGACAAGTGATGAGAATAAAAAAAAATATATATATTAACGTTAGGATTATTAGCATCACAAGAACTGCATAGCAGACAGTAAGGAGAATTGCTAACCAGAATTTTGGCTATGAAAGGGTTAACAAATTGACATTTTAACATAAGAATGATTTTGGTGAAATAAATCATAAGTTTTCAAGGGATTAACCCCTAAAATGAAAGTCACAGAGTAGCATTTTTGTGTTGCGCTGTCTGTAGTGATGTTGAAGACTTTTGATTCTGCAGTTAAAACCCTTGGTTTTGTCCATTCAAATGAAAGGTACTGAGCAGTACTTTGGTGTGGTGGTGTTTATTTAATCTAACCCTTCAATTTGATAATCAATTTGATGTTGGCCTTACTCTGTAGGTTGAGGCTCGAAGGTTAACATTCTTTCCTCTGCTCGTCAATGTGCTTTTTATGCGCAAGAAGAATGACTTGTGTGGGTTCTCATGGATGGATTTTTTTGATCCGCCCTTCAGGTGGTTGCTCATCATAAAGACAGAATCAGAGCAGAACAGGCCATCAAAGATTTCCATGTCTTCCAGTGGAATCTGTCCTCCAAGCTGATTGGACAGTTCTTCATGATCGCAGGGATGGATATATTTGTAGAAACTGTTACCAGTTACTTCAATCTGTCAGASTGTTTATTAACAATGCAATCATATTTAAGTCTTTAATAATATTGACGCCAATTAGGAAGGTTAATTGTTGGGAATAGTAAACCCTATAACTCCCAGAAGTGATTAACATGTAACTTCTCCCTATGAGATTCATACATTATCAAGCAAAGAGGTGGTGAGAATTTTTATGTTATCAGGTGGAAGTTGAATGTTTTATCTTGATCTAACAACAAATTCTCACAATTAATTTACTGAGAAATGTATAGCAGCTAGAGGGGAGAATAAGCAATCAGATCATGGGCTAATTGGGAGTTAAGTGACTCTTACCTCTACCTTTACCCCAATAGAAAAGAAGATCATTGGCCATTAGCTGTTTGTCAGAGAAAAAGGACAGAGGGCTAACAGACTGTGAGGAAGGGCTAACACTCAAAATGTGGAAGGTGGCCAATTTACATTACTCACTCAGTTGATAAAACCAAATTACCTTGTATCTCCATAATAACTCATTAGGCAGTAGAAAGATTATAAAAATAGACAGTCATTAGCTGGTGAACGCTCTGATCTTGATACCACTCAACTTCTCTTTAGCTGATTAATAAGGAAATGTATTGTGGCTAGAGGAGAGAATTTGGAATAAGATCTTGGCAGTTTCAGAGGGATTGGGTGATTTACCTGTGTGAGTCCCATATAATGGGTTATGTTATCTGACACATAAATGCACTGGCCATCTGGTGTTACAACAAAGACGAACCCATCTAGTGCCTAAAGACAAACAAAATATGGTAAATTTCTGAGTACCAGAGTGTTAATTCTCCTTGTTCACTATCAGATAAAAAGTCATAACACATTTTGAGGCTTATTACTGCTAATTTAAAGCTCGTCTGTAGCATGAGATAGTGAGGTGTTTAAACAGTGTAAATTAAAGCTTACCTCCAGTGACGCCTTGTCGTATACCATGGTATCTGCTACATTAAGAGAGACAATCTTCTTTGTGTCTAAAAGAATTTATAAGGGTAATTAGTATAAGATAAAAAAATTTTTCAAACTGTTTGAATCTGTAAGGAAAAAGTCCTTACCTTGGGACACCAGAGATTGAAGAAGGTTTTTCATTTTAATGTAGCTGTTGACCAGCCGCATGATGCACAATCTGTCAAGCTGCGATGACAGTCCTGCAGGCAATGGCAGCTGATTGGCAAGCTCCACAAACTCATCATTCTGCTGTCCTCTCCTGGATCGAGCTGCATCACGTGATCTTCTCTTCTTCTGATTCTCACTGTTTATGGATAAGATAAGGAGATCAACCCTTCAGAAGTGATTAAAATTTAACTTCTCCCTATAATATCCATACATTATCCAGTAAACAGGTAATGAGAATACTCAAACTTAACAGTTATCAAGTTTTTATATTGCTCAGGTACATGTAATCTCAGCAAGAATGGACCGAGATTTTGGGCTGCACACTGCTTTGTTGATAACCGTCTTCAGAAATGTTTTTAAATTCTAGATGTTTCTCTGCTGTTCACTTAATTTATAGATATGAAAATCACTAACTTTGAGGACAGCAAACGAGTCTGGCATATATGGGTACAATTTGATGTCACACGATTGCAGCAAAATAGTTTTTTTTTTTTTGGCAGATTCTCTAAATTGGTACCGCTAACAAAAATGGCCTATTTGCAGATTGCAAAATATAGTAAAAAAATATAGTAATGAATTAACTCTTGTGAATCATAAATAGCAGCTGGCAGATATTTAAATGTCAGCATCACAGAAATAGCTCAGAAAAATACAATTTTAGCAAGAGAATGTAAATGAAAAACACAAGAGACCATATGTGGGCATTTATCATGGTTTACCGATAAACAACAATGTAAATATTTGCTTCACCAAGTCTACCTAATTCTGATGCAATTACCGAAAGAAAAGGGAAAAAAACTTGAGACAACCTTCTGAAACGCTCTTAAACGAACAATATTTGCACAGTAAACGTTTGCGAGCAAATAAATGCAGATCAAACGAGTAATTACAAACCACATCACACCAATCAAACCTCTGATTGTGACAAACAAAAACTAGAATTACTGAATTCTACCTTAATCGTGTACACACGACGTTTAATAAACTTCATATCAAAGTAATATTTCCTCGATTTTATCTGCAAACGAAAACACGCTGGTTTCGTCAGAGGAAAATATAAGAATTTAGTGCAGTATGTGAAAGCACAATCGCTTAAGTGTTATTAAAGGCCTTGAAAGAGAAGCAATGGCGAGAAACATTTGCAAGTTTTGAAAGAGGAGATCGCGTATTATATTAGCATAACAGATATCGCAATCGACTCACATAATACAAGAAAATGAACTTTGGAAACTCTCACTGATACAAAAAAAGACGCTGCAAAGATTGTACTAAATAAGCTCGATAGCGTGTTTGGTACAAGCAAGGAAAACTTCAAGGTGTCATACTAACTGACGATCAATCTTCGAGGTGTCAGGCGCCTGGAGTGAATAATGACTTAGGTTTGCTCACGAATGTGTACAAAAGATTTTTATTTCTAAACAATTCAAATCCTAACTATTCCCTCGAGAGTCGCAATTTGCAATGCGTGATGGCTAATTCTAATTTAAAGACAAAGAAATCGCAGACAAAACGTACCTAGTCTTTACTGCCTTGCTCGCCATTTTTATCTGAACGGATGTTGTTGTTGTCTTCGTCCGGTGATCTGTTCTCGATGAATTTGGTTGCTCCAAAGGTTTCTCCACAGTCTCGAATCTCTGTCGAGGATTGTGAAGTAATCCCTCTTTGCTTAAAGGTGTTCCAGGGTGGAAAATTAACGGCGTAAACCTTTTTGTTGAATCCGTCCCCGCGGAAAGATACGGCGTAGGGTTCCTACGAAATCGAGGCACGATATTGGTTTACAATCTACAACACTGCAAAATTACAACCTCTATTTTTCATCCGAAGCAAATTACAGAGCTATGATAAGAAAACCGTTCTCAAAATAGCGAAAGAATGACGCGACACTTACTAAATCCCTGTTGGTTTAGATCTTTTGTGAATTTATTCCAGTGGAGTCGAATCGTTTGGTAGCGTGATGTGTTTGGATGAGATATGAAGTGGCATTGCTGTATTGAAAACTTGAAAACGTGCTTAGAATATATTTTAATAAATTAGCATAATAATACTATTGTATCCGGGTCAAAGTTGTTTTTTTAATTACCTTTTGAAAGGCATTTATGGTATTTACCTTATAAATGTGAAAGATGCAGATTTATTTGACATTCGATCATGAAATACAAGAAAAGAAGCGAAAATACATCTCAACAGCCCCAAATATTTTTCCCTCTTTTCTTTTAATTTTCAACAACTAATGGTTTGTTAAAGATTTCGGAAGTCATTCATAGATTGTAAATGAGATTATGACGTCAGTTGACAGACCGTGTCCGTAGCCCATTTGATACGTGAACATGACTAAGTAATCTATTTGACCTATTTCACACTTTGCTGCTTTTTTAAATTGAATTGAGATAACAGTTGTACAAATTGTGGGAATTTTCACAAAATAGAACAAAGAATGCTGCACGAAACTTAGATATGACTTCTGACAACCCAGTATCGAATGAAACGAGCGCAAAACAGGTCCTTCAATCTTCGCATATATTTTCCAGATTAAGCAAGATGCATATCTGCTCCGTGTCGGACCAATCAGAGCGGCGTGTTTAGAACTATGACGTCAAATAATTTTTTTACGTTAGTCTCGCAGTGTTTTCGTGGCCAAGGCCACTGGGGCGGGTACAAGCGGTTGACACTGCCCAAACTTGGTTTTACATGTACCGAGGCTATGGAATTCCAACGTGTGCTTTAATGATCCATTTCATTTCATTTCATTTCAATAATTAAAACTGTTTATCAAGGCGCCATGGTGACAATTTACATTGTTTGCCCGGTGTAAGGAGATGATGCCAGAAACACTTTGTACAATACGTTGCTGGGGAAAGAAGTAGAAAGAGATACTCTTTGTAGTAAAAAAAAAATCTTGTTACACACCACGATTTCTTTCTTCATTCTAATATCACCTTTAAGGCGTAGTTGCTCTTAATCTTCATTTCATTATTATTGTAATTATTTATTATTACTAATTCTATAATTTCTTCCGAAGTCTTGTGAATTTCAACTTTCATAGGACAAATGCCTTTAGTGAAAGGAATCGAATAGATTGGATGTTTGTTTTCACACTCAATTTCCGCACGTGACTAAAGGTGGGTGCAATTTCCGCACGTGACAAAATTTGACTGTTGAGTACTCTCGCGTGATGATTCTCACGTGCGGCACGTGAGGTGTTTTTCTCAGCGAAGTGTAATGGGATATGTCAGTAAACAAGATTTAGATGGTGAAATCTGAGCTCGCTCTTGAAGTAGGGAACCCAGGTCAAGGGGGGAATTTTTCAATAAAGACACATTTTCTCTGAACCACGATCGTGACAAGAGCTTACTTGGACCCAATGGAAACTTGCCAATTTGTCTCTTGATCTGATTTGATGCTCGTTCATATAACAGGCTCTCATGATGCCTTCCCCTTGTAGCGTTCGTGGTTCGTACTCTTTTCTCCTGTAAAGTTTTTATTATACTGCAAACTATTAATAAGATTTATGCTGAGCATTCACTCACAAATATAAAACAATCGCGTAACTTTCACGTGGGTGAAAATTGATTTCTTAAATGCATATTGTGATGCACACAGGAAATTTATACCAGCGCCAAAGTAAACCCTCGATTTGGTCATTTCAGATAGTTTCACTTAGCAGCGAGTGGGTTATACACCTGCTTAAGGAGTGTAAGAAAAATTGCTGGGGTCTTTGCCATCAAGTTGAGGAGGGGTCCATTGTAACTGACAATTTGCATTATCTGAATGTAAATTAAATGTGGGAAGCAATGTGGAATTACAAGAAGCAGAGTTAATTAGGCGTGAAGTTTCTGGAAGCTTGACAGATTTCGTTATAAAAGGTTTTTTTTAAGGATTTAAGGACTGGGCGAGTAAAATGTCCACAAACATCGATGTACAGTGGAACCTCGATTTAACGAAGTGCTAAGGGACTGGGGAAACGGGTTCGTTATATCGAGGGTTCGTTATCTCGAGGTTTTGTGGAATACATTTTACGGTAACTTAAGCTGGGCTGAAACTGAAGTATCGTTCGTTATAGTTCGAGGACCTCGTTTTTTAGAGGTTTGTTAAATCGAGGTTTCACCGTAATGTTTTTTGACCAATAGAGAAATTCCTTCAAATTAATCAATCACTGAGCGAGAACAAGAAATAAAATTTTGCCAGTGCACTGTGAAGGAGCTCTTAGCCTAAACTACAGCTCTATTGCTAAATTTTTTAATTTTACCGGCTTTCAGAACAGTTCTTTAGTACTAACCTTGTAAGAGGCTTGCATACGTACCTTGGGTGCAGAAACACCTGAATAAAATTGTGGTAAGTACGCTAGCACTTGACCTAGCGATGCTGGTTCACAGTTTTAATCATAGTCAAACTTCCTGTTTTGAAGCAAGGTCCATTAGATATATCGTATTATTTACGCCCTCACGTACTTTAGACGGGGTGGAACTTAAAATATAATATCTGTAATTCTTCGCACAACTGCAGATTTGCGCTGAACCGCACGTTTTTTGATTTCTGTAGTTAGCATAATATTAATGCATTGTTGCCTTGACCTGGGCTCGAGATGAGGTCACGAGACAAAAACTTTTTTTTTTCTTTTTTAGTTTCATTTGTTAGTTTCATTTTTCTGAGTTTACGCTGTCTGATAGAAAGGGAATTTAATCATGAATTTCGGTGATCACTTCAAAAATTCGAACCACTGATCGAGTCAGCTTCATCGAACAAGAAATCGAAGTAAGTTTCTCAACCCCTGTAGCTGTCTGTCATTTAAAAACCGCACGATGTGACAGCGCAAAAAGTTTGTCATAAAACAATGGACCTCACGTACGTGATGTGCAGAAAAATACCTTCACGTCTGAACGCTATTGATCTGTTATTGTAAATAGCGCTATATAAGAAATAAATTATTATTATTATTAACAAGAACTTCATGTATTTCTGCGCATTTGATCGTATTTTAATGTTAATTTGCGCGCTATAAGTAATAAAATTATTAAAAACTATTATTAAATAATTCCTCAGTAGCGCCAAGCGCTGTCAGTTCTAACTACATTTAAACTTAACAAACTATATTTGTGTTAAAGCTAAGCTTAAGAAATTTATGAATTTTTCGATACATGTCGGGTAAACACAAGATAGTAGAATTTTCCGTAATAATTAATTAAAAAAAAAAAAATTTAACAACTGAATTCTGCAAAATGCCTATTCTAATTTCGTTGCAAATATTGTGGCCACCAGACCCTATTCAAGAGCTAAGCATCTATCGAGTCTGAATTATTAATTGATTCTCAATATTTATTTCTCGATATCTCGGCTCTAATTTACATTGTAGAGTTAAAATTTAGACCGATATTTTTTATGTAGTTTTAGAATTTCACAGTTTGTCTATTCCTTGATGAAAGAAAAGTGATTTTTGTCCTTTTTGGTGAAAACGTTGAAATTACAGGATTTGTCTACCTTGAATGTTTACCCTTCTCTCCAACCAGTCAAATTCAGCTTAGAATTTTATTCTCAGCTTTTGGAGATTGTGTTCGCTTCATGTTACAATTCACAATATTTAACCTTCGGTCGCAATTTGTTGCGAACCAACAAACCTAAAAATTATGGAGCAAACTCGCTTGGATCAGCTTGATAAATTGTGTTTTGGGAGAGCAGCTTTTGCTGAACCGTCCAAACCTATGCTATAGGGCAAACTGATCTTCTCTAAAATTGTTCAGATTTTTTCTTTCTCTTTTTGACATGTTTAATGACAATCCTTAAAATTCGAGCGTTGATGAATTAAAACCCAACTAAGAATTCCAAAAGAAAGAATTATGATTCAGTGTAAATGTAATCACAAGATGGGACGTTGTGTGTCCAGTTTAAAGACCTTTAGCGAAGTTGTTAATTGAAAGGTTTTATTTTTTAACTCCCGGCAGGAAACTAATACAAAATGCAGATAGCCACCTAATTTTGCGCGGAGAAAATGTAATTTTACATTTGTATAATGCGAGACATTTAGTACGCCCGAGTCTTGAAAAAAAAAAATGGGGAAATGAACAGTTTAGACTACCGTCTCTGAGATAATTTGAAGTGCTTTGATTTGATATTATAGCCTTGGTTTGTTTTTATCATCTACATTCCCTATGGAGGAATCATTTGACTTATGACCGATTTTCATGAAATATTAACCATGTAAGTGAAAAACTCCAAATAACTTCTACTTTCAACACACTATTGCGAAAACTTCAAAACTAGTTTGGTCTACGACCTTGTCAGTTGATAACAAACAAAAATCTAAAAATTTTTCACTTTCAAATTTTTAGATTTTTGTCTGTTATCAACCAACGAGGTCGTAGACGAAACTAGTTTTGAAGTTTTCCCAGTAGTGTGTTGAAAGTAGAAGTTAGTTGGAGTTTTTCACTTACATTGTTAATATGACGTTAAGTAACACTTTCTTGGCTTCGACAAGTAGAATTTCACAACGATTTTCATGTAGCTTACAAGAATTCTCAATCTCGGTAATCATTTCGAAGAGGGCCTACCATTATTGCTGACAAAATTTCTGATAGTGTGTTGGAACAGGACGGCAGTGATTGACTCCTGGTTGCAATAATTCAAACCTTTTTCGATCCAAGATAAGAGCCTGAGCTAACATGGCCATTCGGGGTTCAAACGAACTTCCAACAAGTGATTTTGGTGAAGATTGAATTGGTTTTGTCGAAAAGTTTGTAACCCGACGAAATTGCAGGTGCAATCTGCTCCCGGTGAAATCGCGATTGAACTCTGAACGTGGACTGAACACCAATCACAAGTTTAGAATAGTTACATTAACTTAAAACAAAAGAGGCAGGCAGGTTAGGAACTGAAGTATTCGCCAAATTTTATGAACTTTTTATTAATGGTAGTATTTAAGGTACAAATGAATTTTTTTTTTTCATATTTATGCTCTATTTTAGTATTTGGAACCGTAAAATCAGGGTCTCATATTAGAATCCG